AGAAATAGATTTAGAACTCAATATTTTTTTTGAATATTAAAAATATTATCGAATCTTTTCTAAATAAGAATCAAATATTTTTTTTCTTTATTGATCTTATAATTATAAGATTATATTAAAAAATAAAAAGAAAGAAGTTTTACAATATAATTTATTTTATAAAATATCTTTCGAATAATTAAAAGTTGTCAAAAAGTATATTATAAATAATCTCAACAAAGGATTTATCAAATCTAATTAGATTTTTTTATTATTTTTGTTCTATTTGTCAAAAAGTCTAAAAAAAGTTTAAGATTTTATATAGATTTTAGATTATTGAATTCAATAATATATAAAGATCGATATTCTTTATTTTTGATCGAGGAAATATTAATTCGATTTTCTAATACAAAGATTTATATCAAATTCAATATTTGTCAAGCTTTTCATTATATATAAATAAATCTCGTTTCAAAAAAGTATATCATCTTTCAAATTCGTTACAGATTATACAAATACAAAATTGTATCTTTTGAATTAATAAATAGATTTGCAATCTATTAATATTATATAAATAATATTCTTTTCAATTATCTAAATATCTTTTATATAATATACCTTGATAATATTTTAATCTATTTTATAAACAAAGAAGAATATCAAACTTATATCAAATTAATTCTCGAACAATTAAAAATTGCTGGATTATAAACAGATTTCAAAAAATATAAATTCAATATTATATAAATTAAATATCTAAGCTTTGTTATCTTTATTAAAGATATAAAAACAGATTTTGAGAAAATTAAAAGAATTGAGAATTGAATTTTTCTAATAATTATAAAAGGAATCCAATTTTTTTGGATTTTTATAATTTCTATAAATGATTTATTAAAGATTATAAAATAATAACAAAACCTTTCAATGAATTAATTAAAATTAATATCAAATTTATATTCAATAAAGTATATAAAGGTATATTTAATATTCTAAAGAATAAGTTTGTTTTTGTTTTGTTTTTGTAACATTACAATTATCGATTTTTTATATACTTAAAATAAATATTTCAGATAAAATAATAGTTAATATATTATTATAATAATATAATAAAGATTAATTATCTATAATTTATTTCTTTAAAATTATAATTATTATCAAATTAAATTATGAAGTTTACAATAAGGAAAAACTATCGATTATTTAATTATTTAATTATTGAAAAACAAAATTTGTTAGTTCTTTATATAAAATCAAGGTTTATATCGATTATAAAGCCCTCGAATATTTTATGATTATCAGTATTTTCAATATCCAATAAATTTGTTAAATCAAAATATTAATCGATTATAACTTTGTTATTATATATCGTTCTAGAAAAGATAATCCTTTCATCAATATTTTAATATATCGAATCGATGAATTAGATTCTTAGAATTATATTAAGAAGAAGAATTGTTTTCAGTAATTTATTAAAGATAATCAAATTGATATTGAAATTATAAAAGAAAACGTATAAAGTTATTATTCGAACAAAATTATGATTATTAATATTGATTTGAATATGATAATTCCTTGATTTGATTTTATCAATCATATTATTATAGTAAACAAATCTAATAATAATTTATTAATATTAAAAATACAAATTACTAAAAATTATAAATATATATTTCTTCAAAATGATCTTTTATTTTACAATAATTGTTTAATAAAACTTAATATTGATAATTTATAAATCTATTTGATTTGTGAAGTTTATAATTCTATTTTTATTATTTATTCTAATACAAACAAAATCTATCTTTTGTTATCTCAATAATATTATTGGTTTAAAATACATAATATTATAATCAAATATATATACAATTGTTACCTTTACAAATTTAATACTGTTTCATATAACTATATCTTTAATCTATTACACTCACTTCTGATTTCTAATCGAGTATAACAATATATTATTATAAATTAATATAACTTCAATAAACACAAATATAAATATAACAATATTTTAATTATTATTAATTGATTAATCAAATAAACGATTTCTATTCTTTATTATAAATTGATTGATATTCAAATTTAAATCAAACTTTATTTCTATTATATATATAAATATTATAGTCTTTTTGAAACTATAATATCTGATTGTAGATCTCGATTTATATCTCAATTTTGGAAAGAATTTTGTCGAATATTAAACATTGACTTCAAATATTCAATTGCTTATTATTCTCAAATAGATAGTCAGATTGAAATATATAATCAGTATCTTTAATGATTTTTAAAGTTATTCATTAATTATTACCAAAATGATTGATCAGAATTTCTATTTATAATAGATTATATACAACTTATTCTTCTATATGATTTTTTAAAAAGGTTAATACTTTATAAAACTTTATACAGGTATATATTACAATATATATAAGAATGGAAAGATGATATTAGTAAACCAATTGATAATATAAATATTTGTAATATTTGTATATATATAGAATATAACAAATTTGCTCTTGTTCAAGCGAAGGAAGGTATATTATATACTCAAAATAAGATATCAAAATCTGTAAATACTTATCAATATAAAGTCAATTTTGATATCAAAGATTATATATAATTTAATATAAAGAACTATTCTATTTAAAAGTTATTTAAGAAATTGAACTTCTTTATTCAAAGAAGATTCAAAATTATTAATTATATTGATAACTTTTTCAAATTCGAATTTTTGATTATAATAAAAATCTATTTTATTTTTCCTTCAAATTAATTATATAAGATATATAACAACTCTTTTCTTAATCAAATACTTGAATTATATTATTTATTAATATCATTAATGATTTGAAATAAAAAATGAAGAAGATCTTAATAATAACAAAATCATAAAATATCTTATTATATAAAGTTTCGTAATTTAATAATAATATTGATTTTATTTAGTATTCTATTTTCAATTTTAAAATGTTATTATATTTATTATATGATTTCTATTTAATCAATTCAATATAATCTGATCTCTTTAATCAATTATTTGATTGAATAAAGTTTTATAAAAACAAAAAGAATAATTATAATTATATAAATAATAATTCTTATATAAAATCAAAAAAAAGTTATTATTCACTTCAATAGATTAATTGTTATAATTTATAAAATTATATATATATATAATTACAAAAATACTTAAAATTTATATAAATTTGAAAGAATTTGATTATATATATACAAAATCTCAAACTTTAAAAACAAATAAACTACATTTATATAATAACAAAAACAATATACTCAATCATACTTATTATTATTTCAAATTAATATAAAAGAAAAAGTTTAGTTTTACTTTTTTATTATTAAAATTTTCTTTCTTTAAAAGGTTCTCAAAAATTAATTTGATCAATTTAATCACTTACTAATATAATTAACCAAACCATCTAAAATCAATTAATTCAATCGATCTAAAGTTAATAAACCTTTTAAACTCTCCTTTTAATAGATTGAAAAAGTTGAAAAAAATCAATTTAATCAATTTAATCAATTTGGTCGATCTGATTGATCTAATCAATCTGATCAATTTGATTGATTTGATCAATTTAATCAATTCAACAATCACTTGTTGATATAATTAATCAAATCAATCAAAAGCAATTAATCTAATCGATCTAAAGCTTGTAAGTCTATTGGACTTTAATTTCCAATGATTATTAATGAAATAAAAAAATAAAAAAAACTCGAAGACAAGTTTTTCTATAAAAAAAAGTAATATTACAAACCTCATATAAAGAACAATCATATAATTTCAATTAATCAACAATTCCTATTGATAAATTAATAATCTATATATATCTTACCAAATTTATCTTTTTTAATATAACATTATAATCATCTTAAAATAAATTATACACAATTATATAACTATTATATAAATATTTTGTATATATATATAAATACTTTTTATAAGCTATAATTTTTAATTGTAGATTCTAAGAAATATAATTAATTCTATTTATTCAGCTCTTATAAGACTCTTGTATATCATAATTATTAGATAACTTTATCAAAGACAAATTAAATATTTATTATAAAAATATATATAACTTCTTCAAAATAAAAATTTAAAAGAAAAACTTTATTATAGATATTATTAAATTATAATTTGAAAACTTAATATATTTTACAAATTATAATTTAATTTATATAATTTTGATATTTTGTTAATGAAATATTATATAAATTATTTATTAATGTTTATTTATTAGATTATATTCGATTTAAAATTATCTTTATTTTTGTTTATTGTTAGCTTGCTAACTCTATAGTCTTATTATATATAAGGTTTACTTGATGGATGATAGAAAATGAGAAACTCGTTTAAATGAGTCGCGATCCTGATAATCTGATTGGTATAAAATACCCTAGTAAATACCCCAGTAAACACCCTAGTAAATAATCTAATAAAAAGCTTAATATAAACCTTACAATCTTAAACAAATCTAACTTAGAGCTTTTTTCAATTCAACTTTATTGAAATCATTCAATTCATCTCATTCAATTTATTATTATTATAATAAATTATTATTATTATTATAAATAATACTATTAAATTGTATTATAATTATTATTTTGAAATAAAATAAAATAATTTTCAATTATTAAAACAAGCTGATATTCTATCTACACCCTGATATATATTTAATATTTAATTTATTATAAACTTTTTAAACCTTAAATTTTCATTAGGCTGTCTCGAAAAGCCAGGGGTCCGTGGGGCGCAGGCCCCTGGTATTGATATAACTGATTCACAAAAGTATATATGCCAGACAGTTTAGACAGGCATTTTTATATATACTCAAAAAAGTCTGTGCTTAAGCTGTACAAAGTAGCCCTGCTCACCCCACCACGGAAATCCTAGATCAGTGACCGATTGGACAAGCACCCGAGTGACCATGGACACTAGCGTTACTACCATCACCCCTCTTGGTATGTAATCCCTAGCCTAATCTTGATTCAAGAGCTCTTTCTTAACCTCAAGAATCTATCAAAAGCCTCCATAATCCAAGCTTCCCACGGAAAGAGCAGAATAATCCAAGAACACCAAAAGCCTAGCTTAATTTGACGGAAAGGGAAATAAGAATTACTGGAGACAACACATCAAAAAGACTCTTCTACTACTTACACAATTACATCAGACATCTCCCGCAACTATTGCGCGAAGACCTTGGATTAAAATGACTTCAATGTATCCACCGATTTCTCCTACTATGAGTAGGAAGAAAGCTCTTGTTGTTACTGGTAAGCCAATTGTTGAGAGCTGCTTTCAAATCTACATGGATAGTTATTAAAAAAAACTACTTTTTGCAGACCCGCCAAAGTTCGATCTTGAAAGCTATATTTCGAATTATAGAGGTAAGGTCATGCATGTATTTTCTGCTGTGTAGGATTTTATAGAGTTCTGTCACTAATATTTCCTCTTGTTTAGGCCGGACCAGACTTGAGCGACTCTATCTCATCGGTGTAACCTCTACCTTCCTTGGTGTCGAAGCTCTAAAAATCTTAATCAAGGAAGCAAAGCAAGGAAAGGATGTCACAATTTATATGGATGCTTGTGCTGCTTTGACGAAGATTGCGCCAAATGAACCGGAGGCTTTTAGAGATGATCAATGGATTGATGCTACCAATAAGTCGAATGCTGCAGAGGCTGCACGTTTGGAAGCACAGTTGAAGGGCTATAAGAATAACTTGATTAAGGAAAGCACTCGTGTAAGTCACCTCCCTTATTTTCTATGGCAGTCTTAACTTGAAGTTCCACTGGCTAATGATTTTTAAACAGATGGGAAATGAAGATCTAGGTAAACATTATGAAGCTACAGGTCAACTTGCACTCGCTTTCGACGCTTATTCTCGTATGCGACAAGATATCAGTATTCCAAGACACGTAATTGACGTTTGCAAACACATCATTGAAGTCTCTATTGAGAGAAAGGAATATATCGCAGTTCTTTCCAACGTTCAGAAGATGAGAGGAACATCTATTGGACCAGATGATGATCAGGTCATCAAACCATTTTGTCATGTAGCTGAAGGTATCGCACAAATGCATGCCGGACAATATGCTATGGCTGCACAAACTTTCTTACAAGTACCTCCAGGGGTGGCTGGAAATTACTATACAATTGTCAGTGCTAATGATGTTGCTGTCTACGGAGGTCTTTGCGCTTTGGCTACCATCGAGCGTAATGATTTGCAAAAATCAGTTCTCGAAAACTCGGATTTCCGCGCCTATCTCGAATTAGAGCCACATATTCGTCGTGCCATTCAAGCATTTGTTGGTAGCAAGTACTCTACATGTTTGGAGATTCTTGAGTCTTACAAAGCTGATTATCTACTTGATATTCACTTGCAAAAGCATGTTGATGAGCTTTATACTCGTGTTAGGAGCAAGAGTATAGTTCAATACTTTATTCCATTCAGCTGTGTTACATTTGAGACACTGAACAAGAACTTCGCTCCACCTGGAAAGACTATTGAAAAGGAGTTGGCAGAGATGATCAAATGTGGTGAGCTGGATGCTCGTATTGATCTCGTTGCTAAAGTATGTTAACTTTCATCTGTTTTTTATATCCTCCTTCAATTCTTATACTTTCACCTCTTTCCCAATCCATCATGCTAACATATACCAATTAGACCCTCATATCAACACCTAAAGCCACCCGTCAAGAAATCCAACAAGAAGCTCTTAAGACAGCAAAGCAAGTCGAACGTGAAGCTAGACAACATTTACTACGTATGAATATCATTGCTTCAGATATGGAGGTCAGAGCATCTAGAGAAAGTGGTAGACGAGGTATAGGTGGCGGAATGACTGGAGAATTATTTGGTGGTGTTTGAGAAAATACCGGATGATGATATAATGATATTAGATGATACGATATGATGACGAAAATGGCGTTTATGATTAAAAGAGGCTGATACTGATTTGGTTCGGCGTCTATGGTTCAGAGTGTATCGGATTCCGGAAGGGAATTTGGTAGATATACAAATGCGGCATGGTATGGTAGTTATGAGTCTTTTGTATTTCTTTATTCTCTCTTCTTCTTTCTTTCTTTTTTCTTTCGTTTGAGAGATAGTTAAAAGAGATGAGTAGATAATTATTATTTATTAGATATAGAGGAATATTATAACCTTGATTATTTATATTCTTTAACTTGATGTGATATTATCCTCTTAAATGTTAAAAATGCCCGCGTTGATAATTTATATAATATACTTTAAATAATAAACTTTGATTGATTGAAAGGATCTTTTAAAACTTTTTAAAGATTTTACTTTTAAATTCTATCTTTATTTTAAAATTTTGAATGTTTTAAAATAATAAAAAGAGGAATATAAAAGAATTGATTTAGAATAATATTAATCAATTTAGAAATTATATTAATATTAATTTGATTTTATTATCGACTTGCCGACATTATAACCTTGTTATATATTACAAGGGATGCGATCTAGATCATATAGAAGTGGCCTGAATCCTTGAATGGTTTATAATTAAACATTAAATAAAGGTTTTAAATAATATCAATAGTTGCAATTTGTAATTAATAATAAAATATACTAAATGATTAATTTTGAGTATGAAACTTTACAAAAGGCATCCTTTTTTAACTATATAGACTTTTGTATCAATTAGATCAAAAAAATTTAATAGATTTAGAATACGATTTTCTAAATCCTTTAGATCCTTATAATTTATTATATGATTAAAATCAGATTATATATCCAAGCTTGTTAAAAATAAAGAGATTATATGAATCGAATATTATATAAATTTATATACAAATTGTCTTGTTTTTCGATAGAACTTAAACTTATATAAACAAGTTGATTATTACTCTATAACTCAGTGTAGATTATAGAAAATGAGGTTCTCTTAAGGTTACAATATGATTTGTCGAGAAATGAATCGCGATCCTGACAATCTGATTGATCTAAAATACCCTGATAAATAATCTAACAAAAAGCTTGATATAAACCTTACAACCTTAGACAAATCTAACTTAGAGCTTTTTTCAACTCAACTTAATTGAAATCATTCAACTCTATTCATTCAATTCAACTCTACTCATTCAACTCTGATATCATTCAATTTAACTCTATTCATTCAATTCATCTCATTCAAATAGTAATAATAATAATAATAATATTAAATTTTCAATTATCAAAAACAAGTTGATATTCTATCTACACTCTAATATATATATTTAATATTTAAATTTATTATAAACTTTTTAAAACTTAAATTTTTATTAGACTTTCTCGAAAAGTCAAGGGTCCGGGGAAGGGCCCTTGATAATCTTATTGAATAAATAATTTAAACAAAATTATAAAAAAGTAATTTATTTTAGATTTATAATTAAAAAAATTAAAATTATTTTTATTTTAAAAAAGTCATTTAAATATTTAAAAGTTTTTAAAAAAGAAAGAATTATTATTCTTATGATACGGCAGGCTTTTGACCTGAGGTGTTGTGGCGGTGCTGTGTGGCTCAGAAAGTTATTGGACAGCACTTAAGAAACCGGTGGACAATTTTGCAGCATGTAAAAGCTTTTTTCTCCCTTCCATCGGGTCAAAAGCATGTTTGGGACCTTAGAGCTAGAATAGTCCCACACGAGTCTAGTGTTCCTTGCACGTGACTCGAAGAGACAGGAAATTAACTGCTGAACCTTAAGTTTATTAAAGACGGCGATGGTGTTCCTGGCTAACAACTATGGATTAGTATCTATGTGGATTCCGAATGCAATCATGAACACGACCCCAGTTTCACAAACGGTCCGATAACGTCATAGTCAAGTCTCTAATTTTTAAGACTCATATATCTGAGCCTTCAATACAAAATAGCCAGATCAATGGCAATGCGGAGTTTGCAACTCACAATAGAGCAATCGAATGACAAGAGTGAAGACTTCAAACAACAAACCGGCAAAGTCATTGCAAAAGCTGAGCTATCTATCTAGCCTTGTTTATACATCATGCTCCGCGTAGTCTATGCAAAATAACTACTCTTCCCAACAGCCGCAGCACCTAAAGCCGCCGTTGAGGTCGCCTACAAAATGTCGAATATGGCCATGTCAGCTCGAACTTCCTTGCTCAGCCAGTTGCGAATCTCGACGGCGACAAGAGAATCTAAGCCGAAGCCACGGATTGGCGCTGTTATGTCAATTTCATCCCGCGATAAGGCCATAATATCGGCAAGCTTGGCTGCCAGTGCCTCGCTCACAGTGTTGGCAGCTTCGGCTGCTGTGGGCTTTGTCGCAAAGAAGCGCTTAAAACGACACGGCTATTGATAACAACTGCTTTATTGACGTCTGAGGATGCGTCGCCAGTCATTTCCGCCGCGTTGATGCCACGGAACACGGGTTTGTGCATGATATAGGCAAGCTTTCTGTTTTCTATCTCCGGCACGAAACGTATCACAGTTGGCTCGCAGTCACCATGATCCGCTGGTCTGGTAGGATCATAGTAGTAGTCCAAGAGGGTGAGCAGCTCTGTTTCAGTCCGTCCACTTGCTCCGTTAAAACGGCTTTGCAAGGATTCGTTATTGGTCATGACGGCAACGTCAAAGAAGGGTCCGAGTGCCATAGCTGTGGCTCGTTCACCAGCGATCCGAGGTCTGTGAGCAGAGTGTTGATTTCAGCTTCAGTGAGCATCGACCTCAGGTGTACTCGTACGTGGTTCACCCATATACTGTTGACCACAGCGATGCCAACCGAGCCGCCGAGCATACGAGCTTGAACACCCGCACCAATGGCCAGATCTGCTCGTCACGTCAGTGTCAGCAAGTTTAAGACTATCAGTAGGTATTTTTTCGAGAAGAATGGAACCTACACTGCTCTTTTCTGTCGATCGACAATGGATTGAGGAAGTTATACAACCCTCCCGTGATTCCAACGCCCAGGCTGGTGATTACACTATACCCAAACTGGACGGGCCAGGGGTGTACAGTGCTGGGCGTTGTCGAGAGGAGAGCAAATCCAACAATCTGTATGATAGTCCCTAAAAGGATGATGTAAATAAAAGGGATGCGAAACCTGCCTGCAAGGATAGACGTTATCACCACGCCCACAGGGAAAGGGACGCCATAAGCTAGAAACTTAACGCCAGCCCCGAGTAGGGAGCTTTCATTGACGAGCTGGTAGCGCTGGGGCAGCTGAATTGATGATATGGTCATGGGCGCTCCAACAAGGAAAGCACCGCTTTTCAAATATGTCAGCAGCTGCAAGGAAGTCAAAGAAGGTTACTCACAATAACCCCGCCGATAAGACACGGTTATGTGTAAAGCTGTGCGGAAACGAAAGGACGGCGCCTGTTGTGCTCTTACCCGCCCACCATTGCCAGAGGAAAAAGGCTAGATTCAGGATATTCGTGCTAAGGGGCATGGCGCCGCCTTTTGGATATAAAGCTGAGAGGGCGCCTGTGACGCAACAACATCGAATACCTATCTCACAGTACCAATGGCCAATGAGAATTGCTGTGACGCTCTCGGAATGCTACTCATCGGCAACTTTTCGACCGAAATTCGTATCACAAAATTTCATGTTGCAAAGAATTGAGTGCTGGTTCAATACATATATAAGAAGTACTTTATTCAAAGGTTATCGAACAACTTTCTTCATCGACAGACATTATCACAATCCAGAGCTTCCACGGCACCATCCAAGTCATCTATCAGCATGCATTTCTCAAGATTGAGTATGGCCTTTGTGGCCACTCTTACCACTATTAGTATATCTGCTCCTGTACCAAACGTGGGCAACGCCATGAGCAAGCGAGAGGAGGTCACTTTTCCCCCATACGGAATGTTCACCACTTCCTCTGATATCAGCGAGAAGACCAAACGTGAAGAGGATATCTATCCACCTTATGGAATGTTCACATCTTCCTCGGATGTTGCAGAAAAGGTCAAACGAGAAGAGGACATCTATCCTCCCTACGGGATGCTCACGACCTCCTCCAATTCCCCCAACGCCAAACGCGAAGAAGATATCTACCCGCCTTACGGAATGTTCACTACTTCCTCTGATTCCGCCAAAGCTAAGCGCGAGGAAGACATTTACCCACCATGTGGCATGTTTAGTACTGCCACTGATGCCGAGAAAGGTAAACGCGAGGAGGATATCTATCCACCACACGGCATGTTTGTAAGTCAATCCCACAACTTGAAGAGTGATATAGACTAATTCGTCATATTCAGAGCACATCCACCGATGAGAGCAAGTAAGCTCACTCTGGCGCTGGTCACAAGATGAGAGACGAGGATGAGGGCTATGTGGGTGGGCCTATGGGCCTTGGGGGAGACTGTGGCGGTGAATTCGGATCTTAGGATTTGGAGTGGTGTTCCCTGGTGCGCAGGTTGTTGGCGCCAGTCCTTTCGAACGTTCGGATGAAGTTAGCTAGAAGATTATCACAGAATGTATGCCAATTTCGCTCCTTAGACGTTGCTCGGATGCAGGACCGTACGCGCGATTACTTGCCATCGCGAAATCTTAACTGATTACGGATGTGGCCTTCTCGACTTGTTGCGATGACCCTTAAGTGTAACAGCGATTTGACAACCTAGTAGCCCACGTCTTCGTTCGCTGAGCAATTTCCTGCTGCGCCGCGAAGTTGCATCTTATCAAAGCCCGCTAAGTTACGCGTCTCGCGCTGAACCCCTGCATGAGCAATACACGTGACTCTTTCCACCTGCCTTTCCGAGCGACTGAGCCGAGGAAGATGCCCTTGGTCGCCGAAAAGATCTATATACATGTTCATCAAAATCTCCTCCTCTCCCTTCTCACTCTCTCTTCCCTCTCGTCCCTCTCGTCCCTCTCATCCCTATAGGTCTGTAACACAAATTCTCACCATGTCCAGCGCCGAGCCACTTGTACGTTTTTACGATCTCTCCGGTCCAAAACCCTGGTCACCTTCATGCTGGCTCACAAGATATGCTCTGAATTACAAAGGGATACCATACACCACAGTGAAAGTTTCATATCCTGGCATCAAACCACTATGTGAAAGCCTTTTTCCAGACATGACTGATATCGGCGCCACGGTCCCAATTGTCGAGATTCTCCAGCCACCGCATCTGGTACTGAACGATTCTACACCAATAGCCAAGCTACTGAATGCGAGGTTCACGGAGAAAGACGGATATCGGGATTTGAAACTCGTGGATGAGGTAGACGAGTATGATGCGTCTGGCGCCCAGTTTTTAGGGAGGGCTATTATCAGGTGGATTATAAATGACGTGTATGAAACGGCTCTTGATAAGGAAGATGGATCGCGTGAATACTTCAAGACAACCAGGGAAGGCTTCTTGGGGTGCGACTTAAAGGATGTTACCGAGGTGAGAGCTGGCGGAGAAGCTGCTGTACTTGAGGATTTGAAAGTGCATTGGGCAAGTTTGAGGGAGAGGATGGTTAGTGATTGCGGGAAGGGCGAACGTAAGTTGTCAATAGTCCGAGTCTCATGTCTTGTACTTCAAGAATGCTAACGATTCATAACGACCTACATCGACTTCTACGATGCCGCTCACGTTAAATGGGTCGGAGCGGCATCCGGAGAGAAACTAGCAAAGCTCATGGCTTTGTACGAGGACGACACATTCATTAAGCTGATGAATAAGGTCGCACCTTGGTCTCAAGGATAAGCGAGTGGAAAAGCAGGTATAAAACAGCGGGAGGAAGTCGCTGAAAACAGGTTGCAAATCATCAACATCTGGTTACTTATAGTTAGAACCCAAAAAATACGTTGTATTCAATACTTGATTTAATTGTTTGTTCGATCTTGAGCCTCTCACAATTATATCTACACATAATATATCAAAATCAACTTTCGTTACTTGTGTTTCATATATTGGCTTGGGGCTAGAACTCTATCACTAGCTCACGAAACCCCTAAAAGAGTAGAAGTAATTTGATCGATATCAAATCTACTCAATAGAGTTTTGAATCTATGATACTACTTTCTTTTCCGATCTGGAATGGAACAGCCAGGCAGCCCCCACGATCTGGTCGAGGCAGCGGCTGCCTAAGGTTCGTATAGTCGGTAATTGTAGGTTAAGGCTATTAATCATTGATTATTCATTTGAAAATGAATTCGTTATTAGATCAAATAGAATATAAATAAACTAATTGATAACTAAGTTGAATATGAAGCTTCTAAATTATAAAACTATTCTGATTATATACTAATCTCTTTTGAAAGTTTCGAAGAACTTACACTCTTAAAGGCTTTTAAAAGTTTAAAAAAGTCTATACTCTTGAAGACTTTATTATATAATCTCTATCCTGATAGGTTAATCTTAACAATCTCATTTTATTAGAATTGCTTCAGGATAATCTTTTTTTTGAATAATTGATATTTTAATTTAATTATTCTAGTTTATTTCGTAAAATTAAAATATTTGTTTTATTTCGTTATAATTATTTAAAATACTTGTTTTAGAATTTCTAAGTTCTTAATCATAATAATAAAGAACTCTTTTATAATCAACAACTAAATCATCGATTTTTATAATATTCTTATAATCTGAATATAAATAATTCGTAATATAATCTTGAGTAAAATCAGGTTTTTATTTTTGTTTTAAAATAATTTTGTAAAATAAATAAGTTGGATTATTGTTAATTTATCAATATCAAAATCTTACTGTATATAAGGTTTATTTAATATAAATAATAAAAAAATAAAAACTTATTTAAATGAATTACAATTCTAATAATTTGATTAATATACAATACCTGATATAAATCTTATAATTTTAAACAAATCTGATTTAGAACTTTTTTCAATTTTATTGAAATCATTCAATTTTATTTATTTAATTCAATTTTATTTATTTAATTTATCTCATTCAATTTATAATTACTAAGAGCCTGCGCCCCCCGGAACCCTAGTTTTTCGAGAAAGTCTAATGAAAATTTAAATTTTAAAAAGTTTATAATAAATTTAAATATTAAATATATATTAGAGTGCAGGTAGAATATCAATTTGTTTTTAATAATTGAAAATTAAAATATTTTATTTAAAAATAATAATTATAATATAATTTAATATTATTATTATTATTATTATTATTATTATTATTATTATTATTATTATTATTATTATTTTAAATTAAATAAGATGAATTGAATGAATAAAGTTGAATTGAATAAGTTGAATGATTTCAATTGAGTTGAGTTGAAAAAAGCTTTAAGTCAGATTTGTCTAAGATTATAAGGCTTATACTAAGCTTTTCGTTAGATTATTTACCGGGTATTTACCTGGGTATTTTAGACCAATCAGATTATCAGGATCGCGACTCATTTCTCGATCAATCATATTGCAACCTTAAGCGAACTGTAACGATCTGGTTGAGGCAGCGGCTGCCTCAGGGTTTCGTCTGGTTGGTAGTTGTAGGTTAAGGTTAATAATCATTGGTTATCTATTCGAAGGTGAATATGTTACTAGATCAATTGGAATGTAGGTAAACTAATTGATAATTAAGTTGAGTATAAAGTTTTTAAATTATAAAACTATTTTGATTATATATTAATCTCTTTTCCTATATTAGTTATACTAGCTGGTTAGTATAACTAGCATTCCTGTGATATTAGTTTTGCTAGTTGGTTAATAGAACTAGTATATCATATGATTGATTTTGAGGCCTTTTATATTCTAAGGTTTTTCCTTTCTTAGAATATTTGTTCTAAAAGTTTTCCCTTTAGGAATTATAGTTTTAGGATATAATATCCTTTAAGATGATAATTCTATTATAATCAATTAGGTAGAATATTTGTTCTATTTTATTATGATTGTTTAGAATACTTATTTTAGAAATCCTAAGGTTTTAGATTTAGATAATTAGGACTTTTGAAAGTAATAGTTAAATCATATCCCTTTTGTAATCAGTATATAAATCATCGATATCAATAATACTATTATAAAGAAAACTATAAATCGTAATACTATTTTTATTTTGATTAAATATCGTTTTCGATTGTTTATAAGGTTTGAAAAGAAATGTTATTTTTTGTATAGTTTATTTCAAATATTTTTTCTTCATTATATTATCTATTTGTTCTCAATTCTATATCGATTATAAAGCTTTTGAACGAAAAATTAATTTGATTGAAAAGAAGATAGTTTTTTGTATTTGATATGAAAGTATTGGTATCGAATATATTTCTTTTTGTAATATTAAATATTGTTGTTGTGATTGTTGTATTATTCTCAATAAATCATATAATATTTGTGAATTGAACAAAATGCCTTTCGTTTTTGATTGGGAAGTTATTAATGTTTAAATCGAGTATATAAATGTGGAGAAGGATGAGATAATATTATAAATTTTTTATTTTAATAAGTAATAGAAGTTTCTTTATAAACGAAAATAAAAGATGATTATAGTTGATTTGAATTTTATAGATAAATTCGATGTTTTAGAAGAAAAAGAAAGAAAAGAAAAGAAATAGGAAATTATTGTATTCTTTATGTTTATTGTTCTTTTCGATCTTTTTAATCAATTTGATCAATTTGGTCAATTTGATTAATTTGATTAATTAAATCCTGATCAATTTGGTTGATTTGGTCAATTACTAATTGATTTTATTAATTTCAATAAAAATCCTATGAATGATTTCGATTCTTTCGATCTTTCTTTGTAGAAAGTAATAAATTCTTTTTTCTTTTGGATAAATTTAGATTCTGTTAACGAAACTTCTGGAATCGTTTTAGGTATTTAATCTCTTTTTCGAATTCTTATGTATTTTCGGAATTGGGATAATCTTTTTATTTTATTAAATATTTGATTTTGTTTTTAATATATTTATAATTTAGTATTCTCTTTATTTTGTATTTGGTATTTTGGTTTGTAGATATGATTTCTGTTTCAGGAGTTTTAGATATTTCTAAGAGTATTAGTTCAAGTAAGGATATATGAAATACTGAATATATATTTATACTTTTTGATAATGCTAATTTATAATTTAAGAGTTCTTTAACTTTTTTGATTTTGAATAATTTAAGTTTTTTATAATCCAATTTTGTATTAAATCTTTTTGTTTCGATGTTTTTTCGAAATAAGTAGACTTTATTCTTTTTTTTTAATATTAATTCTTGATTATATTTCTAATTGTAATAGTATATATTTCTTTCAATAACGAATTTCAATTTTGTTATTATTTTTTTATAGATTTCTTTGAATCTTTTTATTTATATTATTGTAAATTGATTCTTTATTTTTATAATTTCTGGTTTATAATATATAATTAGTTTGTATTTATAATTAATATAATTCGGAATGATTTGTATTGTTTTTGATGTTGAATTGTTATATATAAATTGTGTTAAAGATAAAAGTTTTATTTAATTGTTTTATTAATAATTCATATAATATCGAAGGTAAGTTTTGATAATTTGATTTATTCTTTTGTTTTCTTTATTGGTTTATAGATGGAATATAATAAATATTTTTCTTTTTATTTTTAGTAATGCTATTAGAATAGTTCAAAATTTCGATATAAAAAGTTTATTTTTATTAGAAAGTATTTCTTTTGATAATTTATATATTGTTATAATTTCTTTTAGAAATATAAAGATTAGTATTTCTATAGTTAATATTATTTGATATAATATGAATATTAAGTACTTTATTAGTTTATTTATTATAATAAGGAGATAATTGTATATTACTTTTGTTATTAGATTTTTAAATTTTAATAATGGATTTATAAAGTCCTATAATATTGATTTTTATAGTATAGATAATATTTTGATAGTGTTTATTTAATTATAGGGAGTATAGTGGGAAACCTTATTTCTAATACAGATATTATATTCGATGATTATTTTATTGATTATATTATGGAATCTTGGACTTCAATATTATCTTTTGATTTTTAGATGTGTTTTTTATATTTCTTGATATTTGTAGGTTAATAATATATATTGTTTTGTGATATATTCAAAAACGATATTATTTAATAATTATATTTTGTTCTTTATTTGAAGTAATCTTTTAACAATTATTAATAATTTTGATTATTTAATACTTTTCTTATTTTGTTATATTTTTATAAGTTTATTCTTCTAGACTTTTATTGATTTATTTTCTATAATAACAATTTTTATTAGGTTAGGGATAAGATTTCTATTTGATAAAGATTTCAAGATTATTATTTCTTGATAGGTTTTATCGTTTTTGTAATCTAATAATCTGTTTAAAGTATTTGTTTTTGTATTATCTTTTCCCTTGATATGTTTAATTATTAAGTCAAATTCTGTTAATTCCTTAATCTATTTAATCAATCTATGATTATTCAAGATTTTAATGATGGTAAAGGTTTGAAGATTTATATAATCAATATGGATGATTATTGGGAATTTAATCTTTTGAAAATAAATCCTTTAATATTTCAATGTTTTTATAATAGTTATAAGTTCTTTCTTATAAATATTGTAATTTTATTTTGTTTTGTTTATTTTATTTAAGTAATAAATAATAAGATATAGTTTTTTATTATTGTTTCTTTGTAAATGGATTTCTATTATATAGATATTAAAAATATCTATTTTGATAATACTTTTTCGATTATTATGATAATTATAAAGGATAGATTTTTTTATAAATATATTTTTGATTTCTTGGAAAGTTTATTTCATTTTTTTATTCTATATAAAAATTATTTCTTTTTTGGTTATTTCAATAAAGGGTTTTATTATTTTTAAGAAGTTTTTTATAAATATTTAATAGAAATTGATGAA